GGCATGTCTACACATTCATTAATGTGCTGTAATTACAGTGCATTAAGTTTAGTACTTGTAATGACAGGTACTAACTTAATGCACCGTAATTGGTGCTACTGAGCATTAGTGCAGATGAACTATTTTTTTGTTGTTGTGATGCTACTGTGCATCTACCGCACATTAGTACAAGCTTTTCCTGCCATACTAACGCACCGTCGAATTAGTTTTCTGCACATTAAGCATCTCGTGTAGATGCGCCCAGGATACTGGGCAAGACGGACCTACTGTGTGATGCAGTAAATGGCAGTTTTTAGGTTCTTATGTATAACTCGGACTACTTATGGTTAGGAGAAACAAATTCACACCAAATCTAAAAGGATTAGGTTTGAGTTCTCTCTCTCACATGGACAACATAAGAATAACTGCTCCAAACTGTATTTAACCTACCATTTGTTTCCTGAGGATTTTCTTCTGTTGCAAGTGGGATTCAGAGATGACCTTCCACTGGGCAGCAAGCGGTCAGGAAAGCAATTCCCAAGTGTTACCAGTAGGTGGTGCTACCATACAGCAGGTCCCATAAGTGATGACTCAAACTCCCTGGGGGTAACCTGCTGCTGAGTCACTGCAAACATTACAGCTTGGAGTGGCTTGAGAAACTGGGGCTCTCAGTCCTGCATGCTCCATTTCATTATGAAGAAGATTTAGGGAACCTGGCATGTGGCTTCTGTTTTTAGTCATTTCTAGTGTTTATTTTTGGCTGTCTTAGAGTCTTGGAACTTCCTAGAAAGGCCTTGTTTCCCCCCACAAAGAGGCTTATGTGAATGGCAATGGCATAGATTTGATCGGCTCCATCATTCATTGACTGTTAAATCAATGCAAGATTTTCTAGGTAGTCTCATTTAACCACACAAACCCCAAGTGACTTTCACACTGTTGCTCTTTGTGACCCAACAAGGAAGCTACAGGGATCACGAACAAAAGATTCAAACAGAAGTGGATAGTGGCAGCTGGAAGGGGCCATACCTTCTGGTAAAAATTTCTTGCATTTTTTTCACCTGTGGATAATTATTCAAGCCCATTCTTGAAAAGCTATCACTACTGCTTAGTGGGTTGTGGTGACCCACAAATATGGTGTGGCCAGTAAATGGGAACAAGGCTTCAGGGGCAGATCCAGAGAGGGTGCACTAGCATGGACATGCTCACCTTGATACCTGCTTTACTCACTCAGCAACTATGCTTGTGCTCAGTCAGGCTGGGCTTGGAGATTTGCAAAAGGAGGTTGGAGGAACAAAACAGGAAAGAGAAAACCTAAGGAAAAGTGCAGGTAGGGAGATTAAAAGGGGGTGGGCTAAGGGTAAGCAGTGCAAAGCCATGAGCCAGATCCCCCTGCTGCTTGCTGCTCTAGGCAAGGTCCTATACCCTCCTGCCCTTCCTTTCCCCTCCACTGGCCCAGACAGTGCTAGTGTCACTTCTTGCAAACTGTCTACATGAAAGCCACCAGGGAATGGGCGGTAGCTGGGTTTTTGGGCACATGTTGCTCCAGGGAAAGTCCTATCCTTCTCCACCTGGCCAGCACAACTGTTGTGATGAAGAAGCACATTTCTGGCACCGGAGTCAGCAGGGAATGGGTAAGTGGCGTGCAGCTCTGGCAGCCAGGACAGATAAGGAAAGTCCCATCCCCTCCATGTGCCTAGGACAGGCTTCTGTGAACCAGGGCACTGCACTGGGGAAAGGCCCATTCTCTCTTCCCCTCTCCCCTCCACTTGGCCCGCTTGAACAGCTGCTGCTATATGGGCAGAAAACTATACCAAAGTCAGGGCTCCCAGAGTCCAGGGCACATACTTTGGGGGAAAGTCCTATCCCCTCTTCCAGCGGCTCCCAATCTGTGATACGGGTACCACCTGTGGCATGCAGACAACCTGTCTGTGGTACACGTTAAGAGATTTATTATAATTACTTTATATGACAAAAAATTGCAGGCGGTACTTAAGATTGTATCATTTTAAATTGGTGGTGTGCAATCTGTCCGAGTTTGGGAACCTCTGTGGGTCTCTTCCCTTAACCTGGCCAGCACAGCTACTTCAGTGAAGGAGCAACTTGCTGGTACCAGAGCCAGCAGGGACTGGGTTAACTGGTGTGGTCTTAAGTGCCTGCCCATTCATCTCTATCCCCTCTCCTCCGCTTGGCTAACAAGGCTGCTGCAATGAGGGAGAAAACTGCCTATCAGGGAATGATTAAGCAGCACCTTGTCCTGAACCATGTTCTTCAGAATTTGGCTTTCTCATGTGCACGCCCACCTGGGCTCAACCCCCAACCCTCCTGCAGCGGCACAAAGAACAGCAACAGTGAGAGACCTGGCTTGTCTTTAAAGGCTCACTTTAAGCCTTCCCAGAGCCATACGTGTCTGCAGCTTCTTCACTACGCTCCTGCCATAGAAATGATAGAAATTTAGGGTTGGAAGGGACCTCTGGAGGTCATCTAGTCCAACCTCTTGCTCAAAGCAGGACCAGCCCCAACTAGATCATCCCAGCCGAAGCTCTGTCTAGTCGGGTCTTGAAAACCTCCAAGAATGGAGAGTCCACAACCTCTCTGGATATCCTGTTTCAGTGCTTCACCACCCTCCTAGTGAGAATGTTTTTCCTAATATCCAACCTAAACTTCCCTTGCTGCAACTTGGGACCGTCGCTCCTTGTTCTGTCATCCGACACCATTGAGAACAGTTAGCAGTCTAGCCATGCTTGTTGCAGTCCCACACCTTACAGATCTTCTTCGCTCATGTTGCTACTTACTGCTCTTGAGGCAAGGAGTCTTTGTGATATATGTTTACTGGACGGGCTGTATAGTTGCATAGTTTTTACTTAATATATAACAAAATCCTGCATAATTCAGTAAAATTATATTTGTTTTTCCTCCAGTCTCAAACTGAATAATATTGATGCACCATACTATCTGCAAACCCCTTTTCAAAATCCTAGATCTGCCCAGGCAAGGTTTTCAGGAATGAAATAATTGGAATAACTTGATTTCTGTAGCCAGTTGAGACATCTGAAAGGGGCCTAGTTTTCAGAAAGTGTTGCACATGCTGTCCTTTATGGTGGTAGTCAGCAGTCTTTTAAGGATGCAGGCTGGATAGACTGAGTTAAGGTCAGAGGTGGTGGGCAGGTGAGTGGGTGCTGAGACCCCACCACATAAGTCACTTTTCTCATGGTAGCACAGGGAAAGCACCTGCAACTCATGCTTTTCTCCATGACAGCATAGGAAAGTAACTGCTGCCCAAGTCCCCTGCCATCAAATGCCATTGAAGCCCTATGTCTGTAAGCAAGGTTCAAATGGCCCCAAAGACCGAATCTGGCCCTGCCTTATAGTACTGCACTTTGGGCATTCAGAAACGGAGGTTCTCACAATTGCTAGGCATATTTACTCAAATTACTACCATACTTACTCAAATAGAAGATGATGCTGATTATAAGACCCCCCCCGCAAAATAATTAGATTCTATATATGGAAAATTTAAAACTCTGTTATAATTTTCTAGGTATAGTATCTAATTATTGGAGGTTTGCCTTGAAGTTCTCACCCCCCCCACTAACTACAGCAGGAAAAATAAATCTTGGGGGTTAGATAGCTCTTGTGCTTTCTACTTCCCTCCAGTTTTTCCCCTTGGCAGCCCCTTCCCCCTCTTTTTACTGTCATACCTTGCTGCCCCCAAGCACATGGAAATGAAGAGCAAATTTAAAAACAGTAACCTTGAAATTAAACATAGCTGTAGCAATTTGCATATAGCACCCATGTACTTTGTTCATCCAGAATTGATACATGTTGCCATTCTATGAAACCGCTACAAGTTTTAGCACAGGTACTCCATAAACACAATTTTGAGCAGCACTTTGGTACCTAATACAAACTGCATATGATAGTAGTCCAAAGCCAAAAGCTGGTGATTTTCCACAGTTCAGCGCTGGGCCCCAGCAGTCAACAGCATTTCAAGCCATGGTGACTCCATAGCTCAGCACCGTTCAGTATGTGTATACTCCAGATACCCCTGACAAAGAAGCCATATGCTAATTTGCCCCTGCTCATGCCGGGAACCACGTGTTCTTGTGAAGAGAGCCAGGATGCTCCAAAAATGTATATGCTGATGAGGCACAGGGCAACCTGGTCTGGCTTCACCTCATGGAGGGCAGAACCATACTAATCATTTGTGGCAGACTGAGAGAGGGGGCAACAAAGAGGTTTGGGGTGAATTGTCTGGGCCCCATTTTGTGATGTTTGCCAGGCATTTAAGGCTCATGAAGAAACAGGAATCATTGTTAACGGGAAAAAAAGACACAGCTCAGCAGTGGGAATGAACAGGAAGTCAAAATGCATGCAATGTCATGGCTCAACGTGACTTGAAAAAGAGCCAGTGGTCAAGGGGACTGAGTTTAATGGGTACTACCAGATGTCTTATACAGGTGGGCTTCACTAGCCTATCCTTATGGTAGGTTTGCATTTGCATGTTTGCCTACTATAGGCCAGGTGTTTTATAGTTATGCTTAGTGCTGGCTGCGTTTGATCAACTTCATAGTTGGTTTTCATTGCTTTGGCAGCAGTTTAATGATAGACAATGAGATTTCTGTGTATACATTTATGACGGGGCTTTTTTCCCCCTTTGCCAATTGTGGGGGACAACGTGGTCTTGTATTCAAGTAAATACAGCATCTCAGTCTAGTTCACATACACACCATGTATGTCTTAGGGACTCCCTATCTTATTGAGAAAAAATTGCACTTGGTGTAGGCAAGTATAAGTCCACTGCAATCCCTAGGCCATATAGCATATGTGTCGCCTGCCCATGCATCTGTATCCTACAAATACACAACAGCAAGGTGCTAAAAGCATCAAGCATTTACCTAAAATAATAAAACTCAAAGCGACAAGTGTTCAAGAGAGCTTCTGCTTAGGGGTGGAGAGTCACTGGATGGTCAGAGAGGTTTCTTCCCACCTCTGACTTGTATAATGCAATTGGAAACACTCACCCACAGCTGGTTTCTAATAAGCTGTCCCCAACCTGCAGTGATGCCATTCCGAAGTCTGCTATCCGGATATTGTTCTTTTCATCCAACAGTAAGTTTTCTGGTTTTAAGTCCCTGTGGCTGTGGAAAAAGAATTGGAACAAGGTTTAAAACATCCAAATCTCCTCTACAATTTGTCCTCTAACCCATGTCCTCTACTGCAGTTTATTTCAATTGACTTCACTTTTCTCCCTCCTGGGACAGAGAATGCACATCAGGGGATGTCTCTGGGATGTTTAGACCATTTCCTATTGTCATTCTTGACTCTTATATGGCTTAAACCTTTAATGCCCTGACATCAGCAGAAACTGAGGGTTCTCACTGGGAATGGGGTTTCATCTGGCTTTTATGTTTGGAATGTCATGTACCAGCTCGATGAAGCAGGAGACAAGCTACAATATATTTTATTAATAGCAGAAAACACAGTGAATGACATTCCAGGAGACAAAAAATGCTGTATGCATTACCTCTCTGCCAAATAAGCTTCATCTAAGGAGTGATGTATATAGACATATGCCACAGAACCATATTTTGGATATTACGAAGGATATCAATATCTTTGATCAAGGGTCTAAATAACAATTCCTGATTAAATCATCCTTTACTTTCCTATGCCAAGGCCATCATGGACCTAATGCCTTCCCTTCATGTTAGCACAAGTGCCATTCAACAGTTCTTAAACAACAAGCTTTATTAAGAAATAAACCACTAAGAGAAAGAATCCATAAAATATGGGTCAAAATTTGTGGGTTTTTTCCAGTTTTGTCATTTTTAAAAATTATTCTTGAGTCACTAAGAGGGCAGATGTCTTATAAAAACCAAAACAAGTTTTAAATGGAATTTCTCTTGCATTCCTTGGTGCCTATGAAGCTCAGTGAGGTGTGGCATGCACTTACACCATATGTGGCCAGAGAGTCTGCAGTCTCTAGCTGCTTAGAAGTTGAACAGCCCTGGGTTACAAGTCTCCTGTTTTAGCACTAGGGTATGGTGATAAGAGAATATTTTGCAAACAAAGTGCTGATGACTTGATGCAATGTAACTAAAAGGCTTTTAAATGTCCATGTATGGGTCTACACCGCACCCTTGGCATGCCCCCAGGAGGGATGCTCCCACATATGCTCCATTCACTTGCTCCTGCTTGCGCACAGTCAACCTAGAAATGAAAGTGAAGTCAATCTGGGGTCATCTTCCCCAGAGATTTATCTCAGTGGATTGCTTTTCAGAGCTAATGATATGCTACTGAGGTTGGAGGCATTACTTTGTGATAATCTGTCTGTTATATTACCCAGGAAAGTGATTAATTTAAGGCACCGGTTACTGCCTGGAACACTAACGCTGCTGATTAGAATCAGATTAGGGCCATTCCCAAAATCTGGTAAACCATACTAAACCCCACTCCCTAGAACCTCCCTACTACAAACAATAATTCCTTCATAGCTTTGGTTCCTTCATAGCTTTGGCAATGCATTCAATTTCTAATCTATAGAAAAGTTTGAGTCTCAACATCCCTTTGAAGCAGCCCCCACAAAAAAGGACATGGTTGTTTCATATATCTGTATGTCATATGGCGTGTCTACATGAGATGCTTTACTGTGCAGTAGATTGTTCTACTGCCCAATAAAGCGTCACTATAGAAACGTGTGCTTAGCTACTGTGCAGTAAAACAGGCCAATATGTAGTAAATTTACTACCTGTATTGACACATATGTAGATGTTGACTGGAAGCATTTTGCTCCTAGTCAGCCCAGGCAGCAGGAGGTCCACTGCTGCCTGGCTAAGCTCCAGTGTAGTAGGGAGCTGTACTAGCTGCAGGGGCAGCTGTCTCCCTGCCACATGCAGATCAGGACCATCCTGATCCCCACATGGCCAGGAGAACTGCCCTGGCAGCCAGGACTGCTGCATCGCAGCCAGGTGGGGATCAGGTCAGGACCTGATCCCCATGTGGCCAGGACAGGTGTCCCCACCCAGCAGGGATACTGCCTGCTGGGAACATCTCTCCCAGCCATATGGGGATCAGGACCCTCCTGATTCCCACATGGTTGCCAGGTAGCAACCCTCCTGAACAGGGGCACCTCTCCCAACCCTTCTGATCCCCATGTGGCTACCAGGCAGCATCCTCACCAAGTGTACCTGCTAAGAGGGGAAGCCTCTCCTACCCATGTGGGGATTGCACAGCAAATTAGTCTGCTGTGCAGTAAAGCATCTTGTGTAAACATGCCCTTTAACGTGCAAGGTTAGTCCCTTCTCTAGGTCCATTCAGCCATGGGCCTTAGAGCTGAGGTGGTCAGCAAGGGTGCCAATTAACAGCAAATGGGAAGGTAGCTTCTCTAGGAACTGTACTGACATCACCGACTCAGTTCACATGAACCACTGAAGAGTCTGAATAGGGTCACAGCTGTGGATCTTACTGATCTGGACTTGGTATGAGTCAGTGACCAAAAAATAGAGATTTCAGGGGTGTTTCCTAAATCTAGGCTTATCCCTGTTAAGAAAAGCTCCTGTGATGAATGATGAGGCATTCTGCATTTCAAGACAATGAATGTAGCAGAAGCAAACATCAAACTGTATTGTCTCTCAATGCCTCAAAAATCTAACTAGGGTGGGGTGACCATGGCAGCTATCCCGTGTGCCAGCTTTGAAGGAACAGAACAAACTGGCTATTGTCACAGCTGCATCAGTGCGACGGCAACCAGAACTTGTCACTGCCCCTACGTGTGGCAGCTGCCCCTGGCACCCCGCCACATTGTTACACCTCTACACAGTAACCACTGAGCCACTATCAAATTTCTAGGAGTTATGGAAAATGAGATGAAAGGGATTTTGTGATCATGTAAATAAAAAATGAAGCTTCTCATTATTATTAATTCTTACCAATCAATTAATTATTTGTAAGCATCATCATTGTGCAAGGCACTTCTAATAGGCATATAGTAGGACAATTATTCTATGATCTACCTCCATTGGGAATATGGAGTCAGTGGGGAAAGCACTGGTCAAGTAGCCCATGCTTTGAGTATTACTTATGTGTTACCACCAGTCTTTCTGGTCCTGTTACATTTTACAACAGAACCAGTATACAATGTGAACCCTGAAGCCTGTCTCACTCCCAAGACTCTGAGGGTGACAGCCTTCCACCAGTAACATTAATAGCACTGGAGAATAGGCAGTGACATCTTCCTAAGTGAGTAGGAGGTAGGGGAATGGGAAGGAGGAAGACCACTATGCTCTCCCCACTAGCCCAGGTTGGCTCTTCCAATGCATTGTGATGAAGAACCCAGTCTCCTCTGCTGTATCTGCCCTCCCAAAACATCTGTTTTGAGCAACATAGCTATCACCATTTTGGAAACCAGAGGTTGGGACCCCTATGAAAGGGAATCCTGACTGACAATAAAATGATCTCACTTTGCTCCTAGCCCCAGGCAAAAGAACATAAAGGGAAATGATCAGTCCTGATTATGCCCCCTACCAAGATGCACTCAGCACAAGAGGGAGGGAGGGCCACACACTGACTGATGTCCTGGTCTATGCCCTGACATAAGCCTGAGCATCGCCATGGAGGAGCTTTCTTCTTCTGTCCATTTCCCATCCCTTTTTAAATATGCCCCCTATATTGAGCAGGGACTTGCTCTCCCTGCCCCCTGGTCTTCCAGTCATTGTTATGGCTATTTCTGATGTATTAACATAACACTTAGAGGCTCCCTCTGTGACCTTGGTTCCACTGTGCTGGTCAGTGCACACATGAGCCAAAAGACAGTCACTATCCTGGTTGAGAATTCCTGCTGGCTGGGGACAATTCTCAGCTGTTGAGGTTAGCTCCACTTTTGTTGCTCAGCCAGTGTTGAGGGAATAGGCCTGAGGCTGAAATTCTGGACTATAATACTGCTAGGGACAAGACATGCGCTCTGCATTTGCATTCTCCATCTTTGTTATCACCAGCTCCTCCTGCACCCAGGAGGAAGAGAGAGAAAAGCAAATGGATCAGGGAATGTTTACTCTAGTTTGCCTATGAGCCCAGCGGCCTGGACAGTGGAACACATTCATATTCATAAAGAATTCTCTTGAGCCAAAATGAAACAAAACAAAACAAAAACCCCACCACATGTGATAATTATTTGGTATTTAATGGAACATCGCCAAGTAAATTAACTTAATTTGGTTCCTTTCCAGCCGATCTCTCAGCTCCGTGTCTTACATGACCAATGTCACCTCCTTGCTCTGCAGGTGAACAGAGGACTCCTTGCCCTCTTATTGTTATAAAGGGCTGAAATGCACTCAGGGCTTTCTCCACACTGTCTGGGAAGACGAATGAAAGAATACAGCCTCCTTAGTGAACAGGCTGGGTGAATTCCCCCATAGAGTACTGCTGAGTGCTGAGAGGGAAGATAAAAAGAAAAGAGATGCAGCCCAGCCTAGCTCAGCAGAAGCTTGGGTTAGTCCCATGCAAGATAACAGTTTAATGTCCAGAGCCCCTCAACCAAAACAAAGGAGCAAGCAGTCAGCTTCCTGATCCTGATTAAGGCAGGATTTTTGGTTATAGTGGGAGCATCTACACATGGAATTAATGTGATGCACTAAACTATGGTGCATATTGCACCAGAGTTTATTGCTCCTGGGCATTGCATTTACATGTGCACCTGGGACTGCTGCACACTGAGCCAAGGCAGAGCAGCCCCAGCTGGGCAAGGAGCCTGGGGTGGGGGTCAGTTTGCCAGCCCAGGGCAGCTCTGACCTCGTTCAACATGCTGCTGAGGGGCTGGCTGGGGCATGAGGGTGCTCCAGTGTTGACCTAGCTGGCAGGCAGCCCCCACATTGAAGCACCCCCATGACCCGGCAAGACTCATCAACATCTACATGTGCACTGCTGAGCACTGAAGAATGCCGCTGTAGGATAGTAGTTTTGTTTCCAAGTACCAACCTACACCAGAGCTAATTAGTTTACTGTGACCTAATAGGGCTGCAAGTGTAGATGTTGAGACTTTACTGAAGGGCTAATTAGGCAGCTCTGTAGTAAATGTCTTCAGTGAATGCACCCAGTATGTATGAGTAAGAGTCACATACCAAGCAATCACAAAGAAAGCACA